TGTACAGGACCAAAAGCCCTTCCCCCTGGGTAGGAATGGATTTGGCTGGAGAATCTGTGGACAAACAAGTGGGAATGTTTGATGTTACCTAAAGGGGTTGAGTGGAGGAGGCTAGAGGTGAAACCTGTAAAACCGTCCTATTGAGGCGAGAATGAGGTGAAAGAGTGGGGCAGACAGATAAGAGAGGAGAGAGTGGAATTAGCCTAAGCTACCTGAAATCCCTCCCCAAATTCCCAGTAAAGTTGATGATGGCGGCTGTGGGTTTTTCGGGCTCTTTGGCCGTGTTCTGAAGGTTGTTCTTCCTGACATTTCACCAGTCTCTGTGGCCGGCATCTTCAGAGGACTTGAGTAGGAACTCTGTCCATGCTCTGTTGCTGTTTGTTGGATAGTTGAGTATTTATAGCTGTGGGAACAGCTTTTGTCCTTTTCAGGAGATAGGAAGATCAGTGTGTTTTTGTTGTGATAAGGGGGGAGAGATTATCTGTCACTGTGATTGATGGTTGATGTTAGCTGGTCTTTTTTGTGCAATGATCTCTGGTCCTTGTGGCTGGGTAGAGTTTGTTGACCTTTTGCAGGCTGTATTTTTCAGTGCTGGGAGCCAGGCAGTGTTTAGTTTTAGGCCTTCTTCCTTTTTGTTGAAGTTCTGATTATGGATTTCAATGGCTTCCCTGTGCAGTCTAACATACAGATTGCTGGTGTTGTCCAGTACTTCATACTGCTGATTTTTCCGGTTGTTTTAGTCTGCAGTGTCTCTCATGTTCTTTGATTCTGGTGTCAATGCTGCATTTTGTGGTCCCAATATATACCAGGCCACAACTGCAAGGTACCCGGTATACTTCTGCAGTGGTAAGGGGGTCCCTTTTGTCCTTTGCTGACTGTAACATTTTGTTGTATTTTTGTGGTGGGTCTGAATACTGTCTGTAGGTTGCGTTTTCTCAAAAATTTCCCCATGTGGTCCGTGACCCCTTTGATCTATGGCAGAAATACTTTATTCGGGGGTGGCTGTTTTTCTTCTCCAGTTTGGTGTTGTTTTCTTGGTTTGATGGCCCTTTTGATTTCATTCTTGGAATAGCCATTCGCCTGTAGGGCACAATTCAGATGGTTGAGTTTGGTGCTGAGAAATTGAGCCTCATCGTTCAGATTTGCACTGTCTACCAGTGTTTTTGATTATGCCTCTTTATTGTCATGGGTGGTGGTTGGAGTTTTTGTGTAGGTACCTGTCTGTGTGGGTGGGTTTTCTGTAGACCTTGTGTCCCAATAGGTCAGTTTTGCATTGATGATGATTGATGAATGATGATGAAAAAGAAATATATAAGTCCATGCTTTACTGCCGCAAAAGCAAAAGCGCAAGAGCACCAGAAAGCCAGCAAGCAGCAACTGTTCTCACTCCGGAGAGCACAAAAAGAAGTGGGGAACTGCAGGATAGGAAAAGCTTATATGAAGTGTCCATAAAAGTAGATACACCTTTCAGCAGTGTTATTGGCTGCTGGACATGCCAATCCAGGATCTCTGTCCTGATTGGTCAGAGCTTCGAATTGGCGCCAGCAAGCTCAGAGAGGCCCACAAAAGGGGCAATGAATATAGACGAATATGAATCATTGAATAAAACTGAGGAAATATTCATCAAGCCATATTCGTCCTGATTTAAAATTTTACAAATACAGATCGATGAATATATGATGAATCCACTATATTCATCAGAAAAACTGATCTGTTTGTATATTAGTCCCCATCTCTAACCCTAATCAATACAAGTTCTCAGTGATCAGTTGCAATATTCTGAGGTCCAGACCAAACTTGTCTAAAATTTTATTTGATACTTCAAAAGTTCCTTCTTTCTCAAAGTTTCAATCCAGTGAAGAAGAAAAAATTAATAGTGAAAGGTTTAAAGGATTTAATTTTTGTTACCTGTTCAAGTCTCCTTCACACTCCCCCCCCCCCAATAAAATGGAACACTTAAGCACTATGGATTTCAGTCTTTTTCTTATTGGGGACTCGTTGTGTATTGATCCGATTGGTGGAGAACTTTTGCACATTGGAGTTTTCTCAGTAACGTGCTGGATTGGACCAAAAGCAATTTGCTGATGGAATAGAGGGATAATGGTGACATCCCATGACCCATCTGGAAACTAGCTGGATTTTATGGTGGCTAAATACTGGCAATGGAATTGCATCTTCCACCCACATGAGGACAACAAGACGGTTTAGGACAGTGATGGCAAACCTATGGCATGCATGCCACAGCTGGGCACACGAGCCGTAAGTCGTCATAGAGAAATACTTACCTGTCTTCCAATCCCGGATTTCGGCACTCCCCTCTGCTGGTGCAGTGGTCCAGTGGAGGGGTGAAATGGCAAACATTACTAGTCTAGCCCAATGGGAGATTGGAGGACCAGTAAGTATTTATTTGTTAATACCGCCATAGGAAAAAAACAACAACCAAGCATTTAGCCCTTGCAGCGCAGGCGCCGTTGTTTTTTCAAAACTAAAACCTCAGCATTTGGGTTTTAATTGCAGCATTGGCACTTTGAAATAAATAAGTTGATTCTGTGTTGCAGTTTGGGCACTCAGGCTCAAAAAGGTTCACCATCACTGGTTTAGGGGAATACAACCGGCTGTCAGGAACCCACAGTTATCTTCCAATCAGGGGAAAAGGCCATGGCATTTGCTCCCTCCCACAACCATCGCCCTGTGATTCTCATTTGGCCTTATGGTAGCTCAGCTGTAGCCATGAAGCCAATAAGGCTTTTCCTGAAATTATGCCCTGGTACAAAATAAAAGCTTCAGGTTTTAGTGTTGATGCTACAGAAATATGACCATAAGCAAGGTCTCTTTACAAGGTCCCTGATTGAGAGGGAGCATGTTTTGAAAACATTGCTGAGTGAGATGGTGGCGGTGTATAATAAACAGAGTAGTACAGTATGCAGCTCTGGATTGGAGTGCATCAAGAGGAGAGGCTGCAGTTGTGCAATGGCCTGTTTGTTTTCAACTAGTTTCCAGAAGCCAAGGGCCAAGACTTATGCTTGGCTAGTTTTGAACTGTGCAATAAGAACTGTTGGATAGCTCAGTGGATTAAGTGGTTGGATTTGAGTGACTTGATGATCCACAAGATCCCTTGGAGTTCTGCATTTCTAAGATGATGATGACGATTCATCCGGCATTGGGTTAGGTTGATTCACATTTCTTCCATTGAGCACATGACCCCCCAAAAAATGTAAATCAGCTTGTAGTACCCCGCATCTGTAGTGTTTCCTTTTGCCAGTGAGACTTTTACTTTTTTAAAAAAAGATCTACTTGCATCAGTTCAGACAGTGTAATTGCCTGAACTGCAACAGTAATGCCACCACTCAAATGCACATACATACCGTGTTTCCCCAAAAATAAAACAGGGTCTTATGTCAATTTTTGCTCCCAAAAACGCATTAGGGCTTATTTTCAGGGGATGTCTTATTTTTTTCATGTACAGCAGTCTACATTTATTCACATACAGTCGTGTCATCTTCTGGTTGCTGCACAATGGTGGAGGGTGGGGTTTCACTTAACTGGAGCTTATTTTTGGGGTAGGGCTGATATTATAAGCATCCTGTAAAATCATTCTAGGGCTTATTTTCAGGTTAGGCCCTATTTTTGGGGAAACAGGGTAGGCATGGTGAATAAAGCCTCCCTCCATCAGCAAGATTTTTCGGTTCTAAAAAAACAGCTTCAGACTAGCAAAGCAGTTCTCTTTTGGCAACTTTCCCCCGTTTTAAAAACAGCTCGAGGATGGTGAACAAAGTGTCTCATCACTGGCAAGATTTTCTTTAAAAAAAAAAAAGACACCACAGTTTAAGATAATGAAAGGAGGAAAAAAAGAGGAGAAAACGTCTTTACAGTTTATTGTGTACTAGTTCCTTTGTAAGGGTGCCTCCTCCACGGCAATACTAGAGCTGCAAACAGGGCTTTCCTCCACTCTCCTTGTGTACCGCTGGCACAGGTGTGAAGTTTATTTATTTATTGAACTTTTGAGTTGCTTTCTCAGCCCTCGAAAGGGCTGGGTCAGTGAGGAAACCCTATTTTCTTTTGTTCCCTTTGCCTATACAGTACTTAGGAGAGAGGAATTAATGCAACGAGGCCCAGGGAAACCCCCGAATGCCTGCTGCAACCTCAGCGTGAGTGCCTGTAACTGAAATGGCATTTTTCCTCAAAGGTGTTGTCACACCTTGATCTGGAAGTCACTTAAGAGGCTACTGACCGGAATTGGCAGAACCGAAGTGAACCTAAGAAAATGGGGTTTTCTCACAGAGAGGGCCCTTTAGAGGCGCGGGAAAGAAGAGGCAACGTCACCCCTATGCCCGTCTGATCCTCAACGTGTACTATGCAGTTTTTGATGTCAGCTGCCCCAAAAAACTCTTCATGTTGCCCATTACTGGACAAACACCATGATACTTTTGTTAATTAATCAGTAATCGGTGCTTCGGACACTAACGAAGGAAGGGCTGGGCTTTATTTCCCTCTTGTCCCCGGGAGCCACGGGGCTCTCTGCCTTTCCAGGCGGTCCAAAGTTCCCCGCGGGATCTGTTCCGCGGCTGGAGATGGGGAAGAGGGGCTGACAGGAGGGCCGGCCTCCTGCGCCCAGGCAAAATGGCGGCCGCCTCGGGGGACGAAAAGGTGCCCCTTTGCAGGGGGCTGGCAGCTGCTTTCTGCAACCCCCCTCTTTCCCCCACCCCTTTTGCTTTACTGGTCCCCTTATTTACTGGGCACGTTCCTCTGGCTGGCAAAGCCCTTGCGGCGGGTTACACCTCTCAACACAAGACCGGCAAAATCACACCTCGCAACGACAAGCGAGTGGAGCGGCCGGCACACGGAACCGTCGCCTGTTCGACTAGGACGGCGGCGGCGGGGCCCAGCCAGCATCTCATCGGGAGGGAGCCCAACCGCGCCACCGGGAGGCGCCTCTCCTTTTCTGCACTTCATAGCTCTAGGTTCGCCCGCTGGCCCGCCCTCGCTTCCGGTACCGAAGGGCCCTCCACTCGACGGGCGGTGGAGGTTCGCCTCTGGCCCGGAAGTGAAGTGCGGTACCCACTCAGGGCAGGGGGAAACCATGCAGGTCTCCTGTCTCCACGAGGTGAAGGTCTACAGCCTGAGGGCCGGCAGGAGCTTGCCAGAGGTAAGGGAGCGGAAGCGCGATAGCCGTCCAAGCCCCCGGCCCTTCCTTCCCTTCCCTTGCCCTCCCTAGAGATGTGAAGTTTCTTGAAATTTGGGTGGGGGGAAACAATTTTCCGGGTCCCTCCCCCACCGGCTTCCCATCTCTGGCACTCACCACCCTCTCGCATTTATTTGTTTGTTTGTTTGTTTGTTTGTTTGTTTGTTTCTATCTATCTATCTATCTATCTATCTATCTATCTATCTATCTATCTATCTATCTATCTATCTATCTATCTATCTATCTATCTATCTATCTATCTATCATACCCTGTTTCCCGCACAATAAGACCTAACCTGAAAGTAAGCCTTAGTATGATTGTTGTGGGTTTTTCGGGCTCTTGGCCCATGTTCTGAATGTTCTTCCTAACGTCTTGCCAGTCTCTGTGGCCATGGGCATCTTCAGAGGGCAGGAGTCGGAACTCTGATCACCTCATTCGCCCATCTCCTGAAAAGGACAAAAGCTGATCCCACAGCTATAAATACTCAACTATCTAAACAAACTGCACCAGAGCATAGACAGAGTTCCTACTCCAGTCCTCTGAAGATGCCGGCCACAGAGACTGGCCAAACGTTAGGAAGAACAACCTTCAGAACACGGCCAAGGAGCCTGAAAAACCCACAAAAACCATCAGATCCCCGCCGTGAAAGCCTGTGAGAATACATTATTAAACCCTAGTATGATTATTCAGGATGCTCATAATATAAGCCCTGCCCCCAAAATAAACCCCAGTTAAGTGAAACCCTGCCTTCCATCATTGTGCAGCAATCAGAAGAAGATGACATGACTGTATTTGCATAAATGTAGATAGTTGTACAGTACATGAAAAAAATAAAACATCCCCTGAAAATAAGCTTTAATGCATTTTTTGAGAAAAAATTAATATAAGACCCTGCCTTATTTTTGGAGAAACATGGTATTTAGTATTTTTACCCTGCCTTGAAAAGGACCCAAGGCGGCTGACAGCATTGAAAGACAATATTTCAGAAGTGAATATACTTCTGTGAGTGTACAAAGGAGGCATCCTACATTGTTGAAAGGCAATATTTAAAGGTAAAAGCACCAAATATAAAAATACGAAGAAGGAAGAACCAAAATGCCCCTCTTAGAAATCGGAAATGCAAGCAGTACTGAAGACACGGTCCAAGCAGTGATACCTTCTTGCAAGTATAAGGGTGGTCTGTGGAGTGTCATCATTTAATGTAAGTCTTATCACAAGCATTGCAGCACCAGACAGTTTGGCTTCCCTTTAAAAGATTTGTATCATTTATTTATTTAAAGCATTTTTACCCCGCCTTTCTCCTTGAAAGGGACCCAAGGCGTCTTGCAACAGTGAAAGACAATATTTGAAGCGGAAAACAATGAATAGTCAATGGTGGTTAACATAATTAAAATACAGTATTGAAAGCTAAGAACAATGAGTATAAAGAGGCAGCTGGCAACATCAAAAGGCAGTCTTATCATCATCGCCATCCCCAGCCAACCTGTCAATCAGCTTGCGGATGATGGGGCTTGCAATCCCAATGCCTCTTGTGCAGGTCGCTTTACTGGCCCGCTCCCTTGGGAGGGTTGGGACTTACTCTTGTGTCGTGGTGGTGGTGGATGAGACCAGGCTGTCTGATTTGGGGCGCAGTCTTCATAAGGCCAGCTGTACCCTCTTGAAGAAAGAAGTCTTGTACTCAGAGAGCGAATGCAGAGAGCCAGAATGCCATCAAAACTGAAGGGCTGCTTTCACCTTCCCTGAACCTCCAAGCCTGGGTGGCATTTTAGAGAAATGTGTGTGATCTAAGCTCCCAACTAAGATACAAATGCTTTCCTTACTGTAAGAACATTTTGCCTGCTTTTTTTATTTAAAAAAAACTATCAAAACTTATTGTGCAAGACCAGTGGCTGAATCTATGATTCTGCAGGTGCCAGTGGCATAGAAGGCCACCCTCCAAGAAGGTCTAGTTCTGTATGGATTCTGTGGCAGCATGTGCCTCTGGAGACGGAATTGGCCAGTCCTGTTGTGTGAGGGTTAACTTTGTGACCTGTTAGTGCCACCAGGTTGTTTGGGTCAATGAGCTTTCAATGCAAATACATTCTTAATTAAAGAACAGGATGCTCAGAATGAAAAGTCTTATCCTGAGACAGAATAATGGACTTGCTCTGATTGAGGTTGCTTATTTTTAGCTCTGGAGCAATATCTAGCTTCCTCTATCATTGAATTTATGTTGTCTAATTTTATTTTGTTTAATCCAGTACAAACAGCCTCGGAACCTTGGGCATAAATCAAGATGGACAGTATGCAACTCAAGGGCCAGATGCACCTCCCTGGGTCCTCAGTGTAGTTTCCAAGCATTTCTCATCCCCTGACATCTCCCCATATTTTCACTCAAGCCTGGGGAGAATTGTTTGTGTGCCTCCAGCTGCTTTATGTCTTAGTGTCTGGTGACTTCTGGTTTGGGGGAAGAAAGACCAAGAATTTATTTGGAGGAGGAAGATAAAAGGCACCCCCTTGTGCTCCTTAGAGGATGTGAGGGGTCTTTTTGATCCCCACCCCGATTCATGTACTGATTTTTAACGAAGTCACATGATTACAAAAATGTCAGTAGAAATGCCAGATTCTGAAATGAGAAGAGTTGACAAGGGTGGTACACAACACATTCTGCTCACATAAATATCCTCAGCAAATTATGAATAACAAATAATTCAAGTGGCTGTGTACAAACAAGCAATAGTTATCTTCATGTGCTGTTTTTCAAAATCAGCTGAAAAGGAGAAAGAAGATAATGCATATGTTGAGCACAACTGAATAAAGAAAATAGAAAAGAGTTTTCACTTACTTTAATTATTCCAGTAATTGATAAACAAGGCTCCTAGAGAATGGGAGGGGCCTTTTTTCTAATCTGGGGTGGGGTGGAGTTAGCAGGGCTGGCCTTCCAGTGTCTGGAGGTGGGCGTGTGGGGTGCTACTAGCCTCGTTACCTCTTTCTTTCCATACCCCTACCATTTTCTATGGAACCCAAGTCCTCAATTGTTTGTTTTGCTACAGTGGCTTTCTGACAGAAAGAAGAGAGCACTGCAAAAGAAAGATGTCGGTGAGTTACCCTTATTAGTCTATGTCTCATCAGCGTATGTCTCATCTTTTTTTAAAAAAGTAATCTGATGATGCCAATCTGAAGGCGTAAAAAGCTATGATGCTGCTGACTTCAGCCGTACACTGCAACTGGTGTCCTGTGTCTTGATGTTTTTCAGATGTTATATATTCCTAGGGAAGTTTGTCTGTTTGCAAACATGTGTTATGTCATAAAACCTATTTGATCAGTTCCAGTGCTGGTTCAGGACACGTCTCTTTCTTTTCTGTGTTGAAACAATGAACGGTTGGGAATGTAGGTCTCCCTAACACCGGTGTGGCCCCTTCCCTCTGTGGCCCCAGCTCTGTTGAGTGAGGCTAGTAGCCCTGGGTTGAAAATTAGCATGTTTTCTGAATTACACCGGAGCATAGTATGGAAAATGTGTTAGGAACTTTAGTCCAGATAGCAAAATGCACTTGTGAAGTGCTTGAGGTCACTCGCCTAAGTAAATCTTCTGAGGCTTCATTTTGCCCACATGTAATTATACCGGGGGGGGGGATCTGATAAATATTGAAAGTTGTCATTGATTACTACAAAATTTAGCATCTCCCATACACAGTAAAGTAGTTTTCTAAATTGTTGTTCTGGATTTTTCAAGGACTTGAAAGTTTTCAAATTTATATGGTACAAATTTTGGCTTAGTGGTCTGATTTGACGTCACTGCATTCACTCAAATAAGTAAACTGGCATTTAGGGTACAGTAATTCAGGTGCTCCCCCTTTGTTCTGTATAAGCTTCCATTTTAAAAATAAATTGTTATATGCCAGCATTAAGCCCTAGTTACATGTCTTTTTCATTAAAATCAATGGCATGCTAAAAGACCTTGATGTTTGAACTATACCATCAATTATTAAATACATAATAATTATATACATTTTGTACAATGCAATACCTCAAAGGAATACAAATCTTTACAGCATTGTTGCATGGGTCTGTTCACATTTTGCATGTCTGTTTGTATTATTCCATTTATCGCTGCATGGCAATGTGCATTCGTTTTATCTTAGCCAATCCAAATTGCCATGGGCTGTTGCTCCACTTGTGGAAAGGCGCTTCTAAACTCCCACCTATCAACCACTTCCTTTTAAAAACCCTTTCCCAAGATTGGGAGCCTCTCCTGAGAGAGCCCGGGAGGCATGTGGTCTTCTCATTAGACACACATTTTGCCATCTTCCTTCTGTGCAAGTGGGGGCACTTTCCATGTTCTTGGAGGGCTGGATTTCCCCCCCGTAAGACTGGGAGGTTTGCTGTTAAATGTTTTTAAAATAGCACTTCTCATTGTGTTTACCATTATTGTGAAGCTAGGATGACAACATTTTTCATATGACGGCCTTTACATTTTTTAAAGATATTCGCAGGAGGATTGAACTCATTCAGGATTTTGACATGCCTGCTGTTAGCACCAAGCTGAAGGTGTCACGAGATGGGCAGTACGTGATGGCAACTGGTGAGTAGCCACACCTCCTATGCCAGGTCCTTTTGACTCCTGCCTGGTTTTGTTATATGCCTGCTTTGAACAGTAAAGTGTGAGTAACTCTTGCATGAGTGGTATTATGGTCAGAGAAAGCTAGTTGTTGAAGTCTGTATTGGAAATGTGTGCAGCTTTTATTGGACAGTAAACTCCAGTAACAGACAATGAGAGAGTAACTGGAAGCACATATTCATTTGCAAGCCTTAAGAGATCATGCAAGTAGAGGCAGTGTGTGACGTTCACCCTTTGTGGCCCCTGCTTGTCTCCCCAAACACAGAGCTCACAAAGGCAAACAAAAACCTCTTGGCACGCGGCTACCAGTTGATCTCCTTATCAATATACTTTTCTTAGGAAAGATGAGGGTCCATTTGATACTGACTTATTAATAAAACAGGTTTATTGATTACAGATGGTTTCTAGGATAATTTATAAGCATATTCTTTCAGTTTCACCAAGCATCAATATTAATCTTCCATATTAAATATCACAGGTTAGTAATCACTCCTCAGACCCCAAACTATATCTGTCTCCGATTCCTAACACAGATTCCTCTGACTTCTGCTCTCAGACTCCACCTTTTAACATCTCTTGAGGCCCCACCTCTCAACCACATTAGCATGTAACTCATGAAAATTACATATATTATTACATAACTTAGGGTGAACGCTACGCAGTGCTTTATACATCATTATTTAGTTGTGTGTTTTTACTTTTTCTTCTGTAGAATCTCAGTGAAATGTTGGAAAACTTTTTAATTCCTGGTGATCTGTACAGATGTGTATCTCCATGACATTTCAGAAGGGGGAAAATTTTACACAAATGCCTTATGTCATCGCAGAAGCAAATAGGATTCTGGACCATATACCTAGACTGGGGAGGAGGACTCCAAATTTCTAGATCAGAAAGACTTTCAAAATCTGAGACATCTTTCTTCTTACGGAAAATGAATTTAATTGAAATACATTCCAGAATTTTTCTCTTTTCTATATCAAATATGCTACTGTTTTTAACAGGGACATATAAACCAAGGATCCGATGTTTTGATACCTATCAGTTATCTATGAAGTTTGAAAGGTGCTTAGATGCTGAAGGTTCGTATAACTAAGTATGATAACAATGGTGTATTAGAAAGTCATTGTTGTGAATCTTAGGTATATTAATTCTCTTGCTCATACCATGTACTATTTGCCCTTCTTGTTCAAAATGTGTTGATGTGGAAAGTAACATTTTTTAAAGAAAGAAAACCCAAGCATCCCTCTGCTGGTATTGCCATTTATTTCAAGCATCTTTAATTTCTTTTATTTCAAGCATCTTTAATTTCTTTTGTCAGCTTGTGATGAAGAAGCCAGAGTTTGATTTTCAAACCCTCCATAGACTTTCCTATGGCAGTCTTTGACTCATGGCCTTTTTATATATGAGAGAATAGCATGCTCATTAATTTTAAACAATTGTATAAGAGTGCATGAAGGAGGCACCAAGGAAAGTCATATCTAAGTGTGTATTGAGGATTAACTTCTGTACCAGACATGATAGTAACATACAGACTTGTAATCTGTTGGTCACCTTGCACAAGTAGAAGGAAATAATGTTGCCTTTTACAGAATCAGATCATTGGGTCCTCTAGTCTGGTAATGTCAACACTGAAAGCTGGTGGCTCTGAAGTAGTTCAAGCAGAAGTCTTTCCCAGCCCTTCTTGAAGAGGCTGGAGTTTGAGTCTGGGACCTTCTGCATGCAAAGACCTTAGTCCACCCTTTGCCCCGGGGTCAGTGCTTGAGCCTTAAGCCAAATAAACTGGTCAAGTGACTGCTGTTGCAGGCTCTGTGTTGTTTGAGATGAGAGCCAACAGCAGCTTCTGTCCCTTGATAAGCTGTGTCTGCTTTCTCTGCTTCTTTCTTGGCTAACATGCTCCTGGTTCTCTAAGGTAGAAGGAATCTGTAGTTGTGAAGTAACTTGGCAATAGCTTCACCCCGCATCCCTCCCTGATGCAGATATGAAAGTAGCATGCATCAAAACCAGTAGCTCTCGCAGCAGGGCAAACACAGGGCAGCACTAACGGCACAGCCTTTTTCCACACCTTCCCTGTCTTTGGCCTTAAGATCAACAGGCAGGCAAGAGTATTAAGTTACCTGACAGAGTGTCTGTCCCTAAGATTCTGCCACCTGATCCAGTGAGGAATCACGTTTGTGTGTGGCCACCCCTGGAGAGGCTCTGAAAACTACCACCAGAAACCAGGCCTTCTGGGTGGTGACGGCAGCACTATGGAATGTGCTTCCTGCTGATATATGCTAGGGTGAAAACTGTATTGTTTGGGGAGGCATTTGGAAACATCTTACCCCTGTGACATCCTTGTTGGTCCATGTGGTGTTTATTGTTTGGACTTGCCATCCAGATTTCTTTTTCTTTCGATTTTTAGACTTCAATATGTTTCTGAATCTCACTTTTTGCACCCTGTGAGTGGGGATCGGTAGCTGTGGTTTTACTTTTAAATGTTGTTAGCTGCAGAGTAGTACTTCAGCACTAGATCGGTGGGGTATATATGTAATGAATAAAATAAATTATGTGGGGAAAAACTGTGTTGGTGGCATGTACAGTGTGGCATAAAAGTGAATATTCTAGAGACACCTGTTCATGATCTGCGGTTTTTTTCTCCTCAGTGATTACATTTGATATTTTATCAGATGATTACTCAAAGGTATGTTTCCTTTTAATTTTTAAACACTATGGAAATAGTAATAGAGGCTACATTGTAGAATCCTTAAATCATATGATTGTTTTATCATGAGAGAAAATGTTTGCCCTCTTATATTCTATGGAATATCTTGAAAAACTGGAAATGACTATCTGTGTTTTAAACCTCATCCATCTAGAAGGGACATTGTTGTTCCCTGTAGTCACACTTTATTAGAGAATCCACATAAAACTATATGTGCAAAGGTAGGTATTCTATGGTATTGTCACCTGAGACATTGTAAACAATATGCCTAGGTTTCAGCCCCTTCACATGTACTGGTTTTTTTTTTCCAGACAAAAAGCGACTGGGACAAAAATGGTTGCAAGAGATCTATTAGCCAGAATCCTATTTGTTTTGTTGGTGCCTCCAAAAATAACTATCCTCCTCCCCCCTTTAGGGTCTAAGTCAAACGTATAATTCTTCTCCTCAGAAATGTCAGTCTTGTGCTCCTGTGTTTTTTAGATGGTCTTTCTGCAGTGTGACAGATATGTGGAATTTCATTCCCAACATGGACGTTATTATAGGACAAGAATACCCAAGTTTGGTAGAGATTTCTCGTATCATTATCCATCCTGTGACCTCTACTTTGTAGGAGCAAGGTAACCAATGTATCTTGAATTCTTACTTAATTGTGCTTTTGTAATTGCTTCATGTGATGGACATCTTGCAAAAGAAATTTACTGACAGTTCAGGACACGTTTGAAATGTTGTTCAAGTAATCAGAGTTTCACGGGCCACCTGAAAATCTCAGTAGAATAAGTAAAATGGTTAGGTTAGCATTTCAAAGGTTTGTTTGGTTTCTGAAATAGTATTTCAGCTTATTATGATTTAAAGATTTAAGTTCATTTAACTAATAGTGAAAAAAGTTCTCAAGTGTATGCAATAACTGTGGAATTCCTGCAGAAATGAAAGAGCTTTAAAAATGGTTTGATTGGCTTTGAGAGGCAATGCAAAAATTTCCATACAAGTTTAACAATAAAATAGGCATTGTTGTTGACTAGGAAATAGGAAAAGCACTTTCTTTACTGGAGTGGCTTTAGAACCTTGTGCCATGGAGTAAACTTTTCCACACAGGTATGGTGACTCTATTCAATCTGCCACTGAAGTTCATTGCTTTAAAAAGGGTTTGGGGTTAGAGCAGAAGAAGGCAGAAGGGATCGGATTTTTGTATTGAATGGACTTCCATTCTCATAATGTCGTAGAAACTCCTTGTGCTGAATAGTGGGAGTGAAAACCCCATGGTGACATGAGATAGAACAGACCCTCTACCTGCATTCAGCTCCTACACTGTCCTTTCAGTCAGTGAGAAAAGCATGGCACTGCTGTGTGGCGATTGTGAGATTTCCTTGCAAAGCCCCCTGGAAGGAGGGGTTCTGACAGAAGCTGCCTCCATGTGCTTGGTTGACCACAAATTCATGGGAGCTGAGTATGTGCTTAGCTCAGGGGTAGGCAAAGTGTGGAGCTGGTGCACTTCTGTGGCCATCCCAGACTCCACTGGTACTGACAGTGGTAATGATAGTAATGTTTATTATTATTAATAGTGTGTCATCAAGTGAATTCCAACACTTTCCAAAGTTTTCCATGCAGAGAATTCTCAGAAGTGGTTTACCATTCCCTTCTTCTGGGCATGCTCTGGGCCTCTGCAGCTTGCCCAAGGCCACACAGGCTGGCTTTTCTCTCTGGAGGCACAGTGGAGAATCAAACTCCCAGCCTCTGGCTCTGTAGCCAGTTACCCAGCCTATTGACTTATTCAGCCAGCTGAGCAAAACTGAGGAGGCCGAAAAAAGCCTGTCTTGGCCAAACAGGCCACTAAGAGTAGTGGTTTTCTGCTTATGGGCCTTGAGGGGGTTTTTCTTGTTAGCCCATCCTTGTTTTAAAGAATGCATTCATTTTCAGACTTCAGTGTTTTCTTGTGTAACTAGAGATGCCCCATGTTTTTCCTTCTTACTTGAATGGCACAGGAATCAGAAGAAAAATCAGTGATTATCATTTTATTTCCTTATAGTTCTGAAATATACAGGCTAAATTTGGAACAAGGAAGATTTCTGAATTCCCTCCAGACAGATGCTTCGTAAGTCTCTGCGGTATATTGTGTTCCTCTCCTTCTTCCAGCAGGTGGAGCTCAATGACTGGTTCCGATTTTTAAGATCTACATTTTGAACCACACACATGCAGTTCAAACTGCATTTCTATGTGAAATGATTGATATTTCAAAAAAAATTATTTTTAAATTTATTTATTCATTGGTTGCATGTGCTCAAAATCCTGATTAGAGCTGCAAATGTCTGCAAAGAGACCCTTTCCTGATGTTTTGCTTGTCCATTTCTCTGAACAGGCCAGGATTCAATACCTAAATGCAGAATCATCAAAATATAGAGTTGTTAA